CTGATGCAAAGAGCTGACTCACTGAAAAAGACTCTGGTGCTGGGAAAGATTGAGGGCAGAAGACGGGGACAGAGGATGAGATGGTTGGATGGCATCATAGACTCAACGGACATGAGTTTGAGCAAACTCCAGGAGACAGCGAAGGACAGGGAAGCCTGGCATGCTGCAGTCCATGGGGTTGCAGAGAGTCGAATACGACTTAGTGACTGAACAACAGCAAACTCCCCATGTTGCAAGTTCACCTTGCCTGCATCTTCACGGGGATCCTGCTCATCCTGCCAGTCCTAGCTTAGGTGCCACCTCCTTTATAAAGACTTTCTTGCCTTTCTAAGACAGATACTTTTTCTTGCACCTGCATAGTTAGTTTATATTTCTGTCACATTTTATGAATATTTATTTTTGTGTTTGGTTTTTCCATTAGGATGGATGTTCTTCTAAAGTATAGAGTGTGTTTTAATTTCCTTTTGTATCCCCTGTGCCAAGACTAGGCCCAGCACATGGTAAGCGTTGGAGTGTCTGTGCTCGAAAAGGAGGAGATGAAAGAAAAGTGGAGTGAGGTTTTAAATAGAACCCAGAAAGAAAGGATATCTCTCTATCCTGTATTAGTCAAAGAAAATTTTTTCAGTCTCTCAAATTAACTGTGATGTTAAAACCAAAGTATGAGTATAGTGATTTTGCTCTTGACTTTTCCATTAGTTAAGACAGTTGCTGTTAGCAACGTGAATGGTAGGTAAACCCTGGCTTTCCCACCCTGACTCTATCGGTAGCATCTGGTTTTTCCTAAGGCACCTGTCAGTTCATAAATACCCACCTTAACTGAAAGTCACACTGTATTCATTTTTAAAAGAAAAGAATAGTATCTGCTCGGTGAGATTTCATCAGCCTTAAGGTACACACAAGGGACGTTGTCTTGGTGAATTTGAATCAAGCCATTCATGACAGCTACAGCCCTGATTGTGTCATTCTTCTGAGTCAACTCCTCCCTTGCACGGCTTCCCAGGCATGAGCGTGATAGAGAGCTGTCCTCTTGCCCTGCACACATGCCCTTTGTGTTGGCCCGTTCCTTCTCCCTCTCTCAGGCTCTTATGGGCCTTTACTTGCACTCAGCATCCAGGCCATGTGGCATCCACTTTACCCCAGCATCCCCCCACCGTCCCCCTTTAAGCTGGGGACCTCTTAAAGTTCTTCCTTTCCCATCTTAATGCCTCCTCACCCCCAAGGACTCCCCTTAGAGACAGCATCCCTCAGCAAACCTTTCTGCCCCTCTAGCCCTTCCCTTCCTGTCCAGACAGACTGCCCCTCGGAGGCCCTCATCAGCAGGTCACGTTTACCCTTCTGCACTTGAAAGATCCTGCCTCCTTGCAATGCCATTTCTTTCTGTTTTTCCAGCTAGAGTTTAGAGACCCCAGGGACAGGGACCTGATCTCATTTTGTCTGTGTCACCAGTACCCAGCCCGGGGCCAGATGTCCAGCGCCTTCACTGGGTGGCTGTCCATGAATAAACTCAAAATCCTCACTGCCTAATGTCCAATGTCTAATGTCCTGCTGCCTCTTCCTGCGTGACTTCTGACTGCCCCCGACTGGCCTTGTCTGGACGACATCTGGTCCTGAGGCTTCTGTTTCAAGTTCTTGAAAATGTCCTTGTGAATTTAGTCTCTTGAGGCCATCTTACAGGAATAAGACACGAGGGCCCCTGGTAAATAAATAAGACACTAGAGAGCCTTTGGGCGCATTCTGGACTACAAATTTCTCAAGACATGAGGCATGTTGAGAACATGCTATTTCATTGGACTTTTCAAGGTTCTTCCCCCACACCCTTATGTTGAGCAGAGTTGTTGAGTAATTTAGCAGCTATTTTTGGTTTGTCTACAATGTGCTAGACATTGTATTAAGGGCTAGGGGTACAGAGATTTAAAAAGTACATTTTCTTCCTTGAAGGATCACATTGTTTAGTCAGAGGAAATGTACAAGTAACCAGACAATTTTAACACAGTGAGATGGGTTCTTTGATACAGGTGAGCTTTAAAAGGAACACATAAGGGAGGAGATGATGTTAGTGACAGCATCTCAAAGGAGTGAACCCTGAACTGATTTGGGAAGGACAGGCAAAGGCAGGCTTGAGAAAGGATGACAGTTTTTCCCAGATACTTGTAGTTTCATATTAAAAAAAATTCTACAGCATGTTTTTAAACTAAAAAACTGACTAAAACGTTCCCATGCAATTATCTTCAGAATACCACTTGCCTTCTGTGCCTCCTGAACTCCTGCAGGTCAGATTCCGTAGCTAGCCTGGCACTCAATACTACCAACAATTTATTCTCAGTTCATCTTTCCAGCTAAAGCTTTTTAATATTTTAGACTGGGGAGTCAGTCAATCATAGCCCACTGCCTGTTTTTGTACTGCCCTTAGCTAAGCTAGTTTTTACAGTCCTTAAAGGATTCTAAGAACTAGCCAGCCAACCAGAAGAATACACGTCAGAGACCATAAGTGACCTCCAAACTCTAGCATTTTCTATCCGGCCCTTTCCACTCCTGCTGTCAGTGCTCACTAGTGGTTATACACATGTCATAAGCTCTCCTACTCCCACAGTCTGCTTTCACCATTCTGTCATTTTGAAATGTTGTCATTCATCCGTTCATTCCTTTATACGTTCAGTACACTTCTTATGTGTGCGGCACCATCCTGAGCTCTGGGGAGACGGCAGTGAAGACCACAGCGAGTAGAAGCCCAGCATGCCAGTGGTGACGAGGAAGCAATGCAGGCTGAGGAGAGGGCGGCCCGTGAGGACGGAGGGCGTGCCCGCTCTTCCTCAGTGCTCGGGGAGGCCGCGTCCTGAGGGGAGCACAGGAACGAGCGTGAGGATCCCTGGGAGAACATTCCAGACAGAGGGCCCAACAAGCAGAAAGGCTGTGCGGGCCTGCAGGGAGGTCAGTGTCTTAGGAATAGGCTGGGAGCGGGAGAAGGGAGGACACAGGGTTAGAGAGGTGGGGTGAGTGGGAGGGCACGTCATACAGGGTCCAGTGGGGCTGTGAAGTCTTGATTTCATTCGCTCGCCCTGTCAGATGCTGTGACGAGGCAGACATGACCGAGGGACTGTGGTGGACAGTGGGGGGGTGGGGGTGGGGAGCACTGGCTTGGTCACCACGGACCTGAATTCCAGCTTTCACTCTCTCACTCTTCACGAACCCAAATGTATCACCTACCTTCTCTGGGGCTCAGTCTTTCCATCCACATCACCGGGGGGCGTATGAAGGTCTGTTGAACTAAACACGGGTTCTAGGATATCTTGAATTTCTCAGTCACAGAAAGGCATTCACAGTATTTAAGGGAAGAGACAATACTGTAGCTGATCCGTGCTGGTCACTGGTGGCTTCTGGTTTTATGTCATGGGTGCTGGGGGTTGCAGAACTTGTTCTGAAGCTGTATTTGCAAACAGTTACAGTGCAGTGAAAATTGTGCTTTCCTAAAGGTACCTTTCATCCATATCTATTAAGAGCCTAAGAAAATGCCAGCCATCTATTATAAAACAATTTTATGTGGAGTGACTTGGAGGGAGCTGTTGGGGATGGAGGGTAGCGGAGGTTTGCCTCTTGCTGGGGTCATTAGTGCTGTGTATTTGATGCCTGTGCCTACTTTTCAGAATAACCAGACACAGGACATGACTGATTTTAAGAAGTAATAGGAAGGATGAGATTTGGTCCTAGGATGCTTTATCTGTTGTTATTGCTGTTTTTTAAATCAACACAGAGTCCTCTTACAGCTCTAGTAAAAATGTGCTTGAGCAGTTGACAGGCAACTAAAATCTGGGTCTGGGGCAGCACAAACCAGCAGGGCTTGAAAGGCCCCAGAGTGGCTCCGAAGAATGTGGTGTGTCTATCAAAACGGGTTAAGTTGAGATTTAATTTGTATTCTTGGGGCCAAGTGAACTTAACATTTTAAATATTAGAAAAAATATAAGCGTTGCATGCCTATCATAGTGACTGTCATATATCAGAATTCAGTAAGCAACTGGTGAGTAAATGAGTGAATATAACGTTATTCTAGAAAATTTGGAAAGTCGAGAACAGAATTGCTCATAACCTCAACACTTTAACAGTGGTCGCTAGTGTGTGTGTGTTGTCTTCAGCCACATGCACGTTCACTTTCACTTTCACTTTTGGGCTTCTCTGGGACTCAGATGGTAAAGAATCCGCCTGCAATGCAGGAGACCTGGGTTTGATCCCTGGGTTGGGAAGATCCCCTGGAGAAGGGAAAGACTATCCACTCCAGTATTCTGGCCTGGAAAATTCCACGGACTGTGTGGTCCATGGGGCCGCAAAGAGTCGGACACGACTGAGCGACTTTCACTTTTCACATGCATAGGTATAGTTCAGATTTTAATGTACGCATGATACAGTTTTATGATTTCTGATTCCTAAAATTGAACATTTTATGATAATCATACAATCAAGCAGTGATAATGGCTGTACTCTTACTGTAACTCTTAGTGACTGCATAATACTCTATCAAGTGATTTGTCAAACGCTAGTTACCATTTCTCTTACTATCAATTGGATTGCTTTTAAAGTTGTATTTTTACATTCTTATTCCAGTTAAAGTCTTCTTGCCTATACTGTTTTCTTCTTTTGAATTATTTCCTTATAATAAACTATGAGAATTGGTTATAGAAATGACTCCTCATTTTTTTCACTGTAACCAGTAATCTATTTGAATATGTTTCATCATGACACCACCTGCTTTGGGTGTTAGCATTTTTAAAAAGGCTATATTTATGCATTTAATAGTGCAAGTGATACCACCCTATTTTCGTTTTCTTCATGGAAGAAAAACTAGTATAGCAAAAGTCCTATTCATTAAAGCTTATGTATTAAAATTTCACTCTTGTTCTCTCTACCACACTAATACTTTACTAAATATATCACATGTAATATGTAAGGTGATTCTTACCTTTGTTCAGTTCCTCTCTCTCACTTTCTTTTTGTTACTGTTGTTGGTAAAGCTGTCTCTGGAAGCACGTAAAGAAATGACTGGAAAGGCTATTAAGGCAGTCAAACATTTTATTGAAAAGCCACGAAAAAGAAGTTCAGAAGAAGACACTGAGGAGGCTGGCGGGTCTGGGGTGACCTATGCAGATGCCTTGAATCATCTGGAGCAATCACTGGCACACCTGGAAACCCTTGACCACAGCTTCATCATTTCTCTGAAGAACAGTGAGCAGGTAATGAAATGCAGACTTCTGTATGCTCACACACTCGGATAATGTCAGTGTATTCTTTCATTTGTCTTTTAAAGCTACATTCATAGTTGTGATCGGCTTTTCAATCTTTCAGATTTTTTTCAATAACTGTTTTTTAAGTTGAAGTATATAGTTAATTTACAGGGTTGTGTTTCAAGTGTACAGCAAAGTGATTCCGTCACATGGGCTCCCCTGGTGGCTCAGCTGGTAAAGAATCCACCTGTGACATGGGAGACCTGGGCTTGATCTGTGGGTTGGTAAGATCCCCTGAAGATCCTCTGAAGGCTATCCACTCCAGTATTCTGGCCTGAAGAATTCCTTGGACAGAGGAGCCTGGAGGGCTACAGTCCGTGGGGTCACAAAGAGTCAGACGTCACTAAGTGACCAACACACACACACTCACGCTCTATTTCTAGCTGGGAGATGTTTTGCTTTCCAATTGAATGATGATAAATTTTTCTAACTTTCAGAAAAATGCAGAAATAGCCATCCATGCTTGCCTCAGAAGTTTTTTGTTTGTTTGTTTGTTTTAAAGAATGTATGTTCTCATCCTGTTTTTCTGGTGCATTTTCCAATATAATTTATTCTTGATATGACTTTTTTGGCTGATGAAGTTGTTCCTAGTTCATTCTAGTTGGGACCCTCTGGTCTAGTGGAGTCTCAAAAAGCCCACTCATGGGAGTCATGAGCCCCGATGAGGTTTGGGGACCAGAGGGTTCGGATTACATAAGGAAACCCTCTGTAGCCTTTGGAGCTTTTCTTCTGTATTATCACCATCATGGGAATTTTAATATTCTTTTCCATAGCTCAGTTGGTAAAGAATCCGCCTGCAATGCAGGAGACCCCAGTTCTATTCCTGGGTTGGGAAGATCCACTGGAGAAGGGATAGGCTACCCACTCCAGTATTCTTGGGCTTCCTTGGTGACTCAGCTGGTAAGGAATCTGCCTGCATTGTGGAAGACCTGGGTTCGATCCCTGGAGAAGGGAAAGGATACCCACTCCAGTATTTTGGCCTGGAGAATTCCCATAGTCCATGAGGTTGCAAAGAGCTGGACATGACTGAGTGACTCACTTTCACTTTCTATAACTAAAAAGTTGACAAATCACTACATAAATGGTTTTCATCCAGGTGAAAACAGTGTTTAGGTATGTAAAAAAATATTCCATTTGCTTTGTAATGCTGTAGTGAATGAACCTATAAGTGGCCATTGATCTGTTTTTTTTTTTTTTTAATCTTATGTGTTTATAATGAATTATATTCTTGGCTTGTAAAACAATATATATATTTCCGACTAGAAAAATCAGTCAGTGGAGAGGAGTCCAGATACTGAACAAATGGAAGATTTCAAAATATGTATTAGACACAAAAATGCAAGCCCCTCATCCAAGAGATAATGAGAGGAATCCATAAGCCTGATTGCAGTTTTATTTCATTTTTGTATGTTTTAGTGCCTATTAGCCTATCTAATAAATAATATTAAATAATGATATGAGCAATATAGAAGCCTTCACAGGGAGCAAATTGGCCTTACCGATCTTGATTTTATTCTGCTGATGGTTACAGTTGAATAATTAGTAATTGCAATTATTGACAATATTAAAAACATTGACAATTAAGGGGCTTCCCTTGTAGCTCAGTTGGTAAAGAATCTGCCTGCAGTGCATGAGACCTGGGTTCAATTCCTGGGTCAGGAAGATCCCCTAGAGAAGGAAATGAATTCCAGTATTCTTGCCTAGAGAATCCCATGAGCAGAGGGACCTGGCGGGCTATAGTCCATGGGGTTTCGGACAAGTTTTAGCAACTGAACCACCACCACCAATCAGTAATTAGGACTAGGGTAAAAGTTGAATCAGGTGGAAGTGATTTATACTTATGAGTTTTAAAGTACATATTTATTTTTCTAATCAAACATTGTATATTCATATCTGGAGAATTGTCATTACTCTTCTTGGAATAAGTGTTGTCTTTCAGTGGCTCAAGTGGTGTATAAGGCTCTGAGGGAGTTATTAACACAAAAACAGACATTTGCTTCAGTGAAGATGTGATTTAAATGTACCAAATGGCTACTTGGGCTTCCCAGGTGGTTCAGTGGTAAAGAATCCTCCTGCCAATGAAAGAGACATGGGTTCGATTCCTGGATTGGGAAGATCCCCTGGAGGAGGAAATGGCAACCCATTCCAGTACTCTTGCCTGAAATATTCTGTAGACAGTGGAGCCTAATGATCTGCAGTCCATGGGGTCGCAAAGAGCTGGACACAGCTGAGGGACTGAGCACGCTTGGAATAGCTACTTGCGAATGTTGTTAGACCACGGATGGTCCTTAATAGGAACCTCTTCTGGTCCCTAAATTGACATTATATGATTTTGTTAAGGCACCTTTTAGATCAAATGCTGAAAATAACCTTCAACCTTATATGTATTGACCCTTTTAAGTTCAGGCTTTGATTTTAACCTCTTTAATTATATACTCAGTGAAAGACCATATTGTATACTCAAGAAGGTTAGTGCAACTTCAATCACAGACCATTGGAACCTCAAGTTTCCTCTGTCTCAGTATGGATACTAGTAATTTCCTTGCCTAACTCAAAGGTAGTTTGTTTTTAAATATAGAAAGTATCACAGTGGGAAGAATAGTAAACTGAAAGCTCATGTGCCCAACTCCCAGCTTTCACCATTATCAAAACATGACCAGTCTATTTCCTTTCTACCCTTACTCCTCTGAGTCATTTTAAAGAAAAACCCAGTCATCTTTTCATTTTATCCACAAATCCTTCCATATCTATTGCTAAAAGATATATTTAAATGTAACTACCACTGCATTACCAATAAAAATGTTAATAGTAATTCTTTGATATCATCAAATGTCCAGTTAAGGTTTGGAAGACAAAGCAGTTATATTCAGAAGCACTTGTGAAAGTTAGAAAGTGTTGTTAAAAAAAAAAGTGTTGTTAACATCAAGTGATCACATTTGGTATGCTGGACAATGGTAGGCTGTGTTCTATTTCTGAAATTACTTGTTGTCATGTTAGTTTTTACAATATTATCAAAGAGGGACCAGCAGTGTGGAATGGGGGAATGTGGTGGGGGAAGCATAAATTTGGATTCTAATCCCAAGCTCCATTAATGGCAACTGTGTGACTTTGGACACGTTGCTTAATACCTTTGGTTTTCAGCTTCCTTTCTGATAAAGTGGAGCTGATTAAAACTCCTTGTGGGATAGTTGAAAGAAAAGTGAAAGTGAAAGTCGCTTAGTCATGTCTGACTCTTTGCGACCCCATGGACTATACAGTCCATTGAATTCTCCAGGTCAGAATACTGGAGTGGGTAGCCTTTCCCTCCTCCAGGGGATCTTTCCAACTCAGGAATCAAACCCAGGTCTCCTGCACCCAGGTGGATTCTTAACCAGCTGAGCCACAAGGGAAACCTAAGAATACTGGAGTGGGTAGCCTGTCCCTTCTCCAGTGGATCTTCCTGACCCAGGAATTGAACTGGAGTCTCCTGCATTGCCGGCAGATTTTTACCAACTGAGCTATCAGGATAATTATAAACATTAAATTATATAACATATACAATACCTGGGTTTACATAGTTCAATATTAATAGATTTTAACTGTGATGTGTTTATAGCACAATAATAATAATAGAGAAATTTAATGAGCATTACTTTGTGCCTGACATTGTGCTAAATGACTGATTTTTGTATTATTGAATGTTTACAACACCCTCTATTCACAAGAACTGATTGTCCTCATTCTCATTTTATAGACACTGGAAATTTGAGATCACAATGGCTTACTACTTAGTACACAGTAAAGCAAGGTTTACACTCAAGTCTCGGTAGCTCTGGAGACCAAGCTCTTAACATCCCCTACATGTTCCTCCATGTGGTGTCAGTGGTTGTAGTATTATATTTGGTTTGAGAGTCTTCTGAGTATAGTTCACTCTGTTCATGTAATTTCTAGTTCATAGTTACATGTTGAATTCCATGTTTTCAGGAAACGTTGCAGAAATACGGTTACCTCTATGATCTGTCTCGGTCAGAAAAAGAGAAAGTTTACAACCAAGCTGTGGCCATGTGTCTAGATGGTCAGCCTCTAAGAATGATTCAGCAGCTGCTGGAGGTGGCTGTGGGCCCTCTTGACATTTCGCCCAAGGAAATCGTGCAGAGTGCAGTAACGAAAATCATCTCTGCATTGAGGTAAGCCATAAAATAGTCATCAAGGAAAACCTGAGCTGATATTTTTGCCAGTAAAGTGCTTGTTTCACAGTTGTTATGAAGATATAATATCGTGTACATAGGAGCATTGTATAACTATGAAGTACTTTATAAAAGTAAGAGATTATGATTAGACTTCTCAGTCTCTTGTCTTAAAATATCTTGAGAGTGGAAAACTGTGAAAATGCTCCATCATTGGTCCTGTGTGTAACACGTCAAAGCGCTAGCTAATTTCTCAGTCAACCCTCTCCCTCACTCAGATAATTCTTGAAGTAAGGGACAAAGGCCAGTGTGGCCAGTGAAGGAGGTCCCTATGTGTCAGACCTGTCGTGTGATTTTAGTGTGGATTTTCAGAGCTTGTCTTTTCAGCAGTGGAAAACCAATTCCCAGAAGTTTCTTTTGAAGTGCACAAGGCATGGTTAATCACATACTGAAGAAGTTAGACATCTGTTAAGTATCTTAGGACGTTATTTACCTGCAATTAATGGTATAAAGCTGACAATTGAGAAATTCTAGCTTCCTGTCAACAGGCTGGTATCTTTGTAGGAAAGCTTCCGGGGGATTAGGAAAGAGGGGAAAGTTAAGCTAAGAAAATAATGAGGCATCAAGTGCTTTCTGTGAATAATGCAATTAGCCTAAAAGATTTAGTTGTGTTTAATTTATTCTTCTTTTAAGCATTCTTTGTGATTCTGTGTTGCTCTTGAGGAACTTTTTGATTAAAAGCGTGTCAGTTTTCAGCAGCTGCACTGAAATCAAATGAGCCTTTATGAGTTTAATTACCCAGCTTCATCCAGTTTTCACCTTAATGCTCTGAGGTATCTGGTAATTTTCTGTATAAGGAAAGAAATAAAGTAGTGTAACATTTTTTAGAAATCACAAATGTGAAATGAATAAACCTTTATTACATAATGAACTTACTATGTTTTAGTGGTACTGGTGGTTATTAGAGCCATTTTCCACTTTCAAGTGATGGTAGATAATTGTTTGCCATGTTTATCTTTTCGATTCTCCTCTGTCCATAGGTTCTCCAGACAAGAATCCTGGAATGGGTAGCCATTCCCTTCTCCAGGAGTTCTTCCCAACCCAGGAATCAAACTCAGGTCTCCTGCGTTGCAGGCAGATTTTTACCATCTGAGCTACCAGGAGAGCTTTTTGATTTTACTTATCTTTTATTATTTCTTCGAGTTCATATGAATCTCACAAAAACAAAAGTTTGAAAAATTAGTGCTTTGAAGAGAACTTAGTTTCATTTTAAAAATTGTACGTTTTCATATAATTAAAATTTGACATGATATTTTTGCATTTATAAAATTCTGACATAAATTATACTCTTTTCTTCCCTGTGCCCAGTTCTAGCACTGAAGATTTCATTCTGGTCTAATAAATGTTATAGTTGGTGCACAGAAGACTTTCAATAAAAATGGATTAAATCTTTCAGTAGTGGGAGAAAGGGAACTTTTAGTTCATCTGCCTCTTTTTCTGAGGAAAATAAATTGCTATTGACTAGGTCTATGACATTTACCTTTTAGAAGGTTAGTGAATTTAGTAAGCTTAATATGACAAAGGTATGAACATACTGAATCCAGCAGTTGGTTTAAATCATATAACTTAAATTATTCAGAAAACTCATCTACAACTTCTCTTCCCTCTGTTGCATTTTCAAAATTCCGTAGAATTCCATGCATACATATCTGTAGTGTGGACTTCACAGTAGGGCCCATCTCATGGGTGTTGGATTATTAAATGGCAGGATGTATGTGAAGCACGTAGCATTGCCTGGTGCCTTGTAAGGGCCATGTGAATATTAATATTGTGGGGAAAAGGCCAACTGGAGGATTTAGATTATATATATTTAAAGCTTAAAATAGCTCATATTTTTAGTGCCCATTGAGTATTTCTTTGAATTTTTGAATAACAGAATGCAAATAGATTTTCTTTCTCTTTTTCCTTTTTATTTTTATTTTTTAAACTTCGTTTTGCTACTCTCTTGGTAGGAAGACAAGCCTCTGTTAAACTGTGAGCTCCTCAGGGCAGAGAAGGTTTCCTCTCCACATCCTTAGGACACACACAGCCCAGGACCTGGTACTTCTTGGGCTGCATATGCCATGAGCGGCTGTGAGCTCGTGGCATATGCTCTGCGGAGATCCAGCTGGGTTCATCTGAGTGTCAGTGCCCTGCTGGTTTCTGAGGCTTGAGCCATCCGTCCTGAATCCCTTCCTCTCTCTGTCTCTCCCTTCACAGTGGAGGCAGTGATGACCTCGGGGGCCTGGCGGACCCGCTCCACGTCCTGGAAGGAGTTGTTGCCGCGGTCCATGCCAGTGTGGACGAAGGGTAAGGCTGGAGTGGTTTGCAGGTCTCACTTAATGGCGTTCCTTGGAGCCTTAGAATTACTCTCAATATCTGTGGTGATGAGGTTTCCACCTCTAAGTGTCTTTTCTAGGTGGCGCTGAAGAAAGAGCTGAGAACTTTCTGGAGATTTGTTTTCTTAGTCTATCAGCTCCAGCAGAACCGTCTGCTTCTCAGGCCTCAGAGAGCCTGATCTCTTTTCACTCCTTTCAAGGGCAGCAAAGGAGGAGACACTGCGCTGAGCATTTTAGGAGAGGAGGGGTTCATATCTTCAGGAGGTTTACTCTACTGATTAACTATGGGGATTCTTAGAATGTATATGTTATATTTTGAAAAGCTTTGTATATGTAAGATCTGTCTTGTCTGAGGATTAAGAGCGTACGGGCTTTGTAAGTCTAAGAGATGTGTGTCTCCAGTCCAGATTTAGAAAGAATTTTTCATCCAGGTGGTGCATGCGTGCTAAGTCGCTTCAGTCATGTCCGACTCTTAGCCCGCCAGGCTCCTCTGTCCGTGGGATTCTCCAAGCAAGAATACTGGAGTGGGTTGCCATGCCTTACTCCAGGGGATCTTCCCGACCCAGGATCGAACCCACGTCTTGTATGTTTCCTGCATTGTCAGGCGAGTTCTTTACCACTAGTGCCACCTGGGAACCCTATTCAGATGTTAGTAGTAGGAATAACAGCAGCAGCAGCTGAACGACAAGAATATATTTCCCGGAGTTTATGGAGATCTTTCCTGTGTCTTATATCCATGGCAACCCTGTAAGGCTTTACCCCAATTTTCTTTTTTAATGGAAAATATGGTATAATAATGATGAAGCATATTTGAGAAACCGCCTCATTGTTCATTCAGTGATATTGTTGTTTTTATTTGCGTATTACCTCCCAGTTATTGTTCAGGTATGGATATATTTTTACATAATTTCAATCAAAATGTATGAACACTTCTATATTCAGTTTTAGTTACTTGCTGTTAGAACTCTTTCCATTTATCTTTGTGGATTTAGTGGTTATGATTTTTGAAACCTGTGTGTATTGTTGCCGTATGGAAATATGGAGAGAAAGGCTGGGAGAGAGGAATTGACTTGTTCAGAGTCAGAGGCCTGCGAAACACAGCCAGGACTCCTGTCTGCCGTAATTGACTGCTCGGTGGCCTTTAGAGCGTGTCTGCATGCGTAGCTTTGTGCCCACGGTTTGAGTGAAAGGACACAGGATAAACCATGTGGGTGGGCTGGACAGCATGGCAAGCAGGGCGCTCTACCCACTCTGCCTTTTGCTTTGCACAGTTTTTCTAAACTCCTTTGCTTGTGGCTCTTTAAACGGTAAGGAAGCCACAGCTGTGACTCACATGGGCCCCTTACTTTAAAGATAAATGCCATTGTTCTGCGTGTTTACTGTGTGTCATACTCCATTCTCAGTTCCAGTTCTGGGTAAGAAGTAACCTCCAGTCTGGAGGAGCTCAGAGCCTTGCAGGGAGACCAGGTTGCTCAGGGCCCTGGTTCCTGTGCAATAGCATAGTCAGTGCTGTGCAGAAAGTGAGGTGAAGGGAGTGGCTTGTTCTGTCCCAGGGAAGTCAGAGCAGGACCCACAAGGGACAGCACTGGACCTGGTCTGTGACACCTGAGTCTGTGATAAGGATGATGGAGGATGATGGCAGTCCAGGCTGAGGACACAGCCTAAACAAGGCAGATGTGGCAGATAGCAGCGCAGACAGAAGTGCTGTGTGTCACTTTCTAGATGGTCCATCGAGCTATCGCCATTCCAGTCACAGTCCATCAGTCAGTTCTCAGCTTGCCGCTCCCCCATGTGTTGCTCTCAGGTACCCCAACCCGGACCCTGGCCTCACATGATGGAAGGGATCTTAACAGATACTGCTTGAAGCCCCTTCCATGGGGAATCCCTCAGTCTGGTCCCACATGGGACATCTCAAAAAGATTAGAAGGTAGTGTTTTTCTCAGTGAATTTCCAGCTGGATAAACATATATATATATATATACAAGATATACAGAAGAATCCAACTGGAGTCTCCTGAATACAGGACAATTTTCTTTTTAAGCTTTGATTTCCAAAGAGGAAGACATTGGGGAATGGAGAGTCAGAATGAGACCTTACTTTGCATCCCAGAGACACAGAATAACAGAGGCTCCTTAATAACAACAAAAATGAATTTCAGTGAATTTTTTTTTTCATTTAGAAAAGAAAAAGAAGAAAGACAAAGTCCTAACTTTTATGCCTGACAAGTGCTTTGTGAATGTGGACAGTTAAACCTGACACTCTTGGCTTCAGTTCCCCTCCGCAAGAGCATGTTTGCAAGAGTCACAGAGGGGAGTCACTCTCTTTTCTAGATTGTTCCCAGGGGCGTCTTCAGAGAAACCTGGGGATTCAAGCTCTTTTCAAGTAAGGCTCTGGAAATAGCAGATACAAGCTATTATATATAAAATAGGTAAACAACAAGGACCTACTGAAGCACAGGAAAATATATTCAATATCTTATAATAAATTACAATGGAAAAGAAAACATATGTGTATATTTATACATACATATATTTGTGTGCATATACTTATTGGGCTTCCCTGATGGCTTAGCAGTAAAGAATCTGCTTGCAATGCAGGATATGCGGGTACAATCTCTGGGTCAGGAAGATCTCCAGAGAAGGAAATGGTAACACACTCCAGTATTCTTGCCAGTCAAAAAGGTGGCTTGAAACTCAATATTCAAAAAACTAAGATTCATGACATCTAGTCCCATTACTTTATGGCAAAATAGATGGGGAAACAATGGAAAAAACAGTGACAGACTTTGTTTTCTTGTGCTCCAAAATCACTGCAGATGGTGAAAGCAGTCTTGGAATTAAAAAAATGCTTGCTCCTTGGAAAAAAAGCTATGACAAATCTAGACAGTGTATTAAAAAGCAAAGACATCACTTTGCTGACCAAAGTCCATATAGTCAAAGCTATGGTTTTTCCAGTAGTCATGTATGGATGTGAGAGTTGGACCATAAAGAAGGCTGAGCACCAAAAAATTGATGTTTATGAATTGTGGTGTTGGGGAAGACTGTTGAGAGTCCCTTGGAAGACAAGGAGATCAAACAGGTCAATTCTGAAGGAAATCACCCTTGAATATTCATTGGAAGGACTGATGCTGAAGCTGAAACTCCAATGTTTTGGCCACCTGATGCAAAGAGCCAACTCATTGGAAACTACTCTTGTGCTGGGAAAGATTGAAGGCAAAAGGGAAAAAAGGGCAGCAGAGGATGAGATAGTTAGATAGCATCACCAACTCAATGGACATGAATTTGAGCAAACTCCAGGAGATAGTGAGGGGTAGTGAAGACTGGCATGCTTCATTCCATGGGATCATAAAGAGTGGGACATGACTCAGTGACTGAAACAAATAATAATTCAGATGAGTCAGATATAACTTAGCCACTGAACACAACACACACATGAAGGCAAGGCGTGGAAAAGGAAATAAGGCCAAGGCGCAGAGGAGGAGGAGGAAGAGGTGAGAAAAACAGAGAAAAATAATGACATAAGACCTCGCAAAGGTCAGTCCACGGACTCAGGGACACTTGGGAGCTGGTTGGAAATGTAGAATTTTGGGCCCTACCCACACCAACCAAGTAAAATCTATATTTTAATAATATCCCTGGGCAATTCCTCAACACAATGGTGTTTGAGAAGCGCTCCCTTAACTGTCAATTGCAGGCTCTTTAATGTCAGAAGATGAGATACTGTGAGAGGAATTCACAACCTGTCTTTACCTGGGCAACTCCAGACAAACTACAAAGCCTGTCTGACTATCATTTCCTAATCTGAAAAATGGAGATGATGGTGCTAATGACAGACCAAGTAATGAGAGTTGCAGAAGTGTCACTTTATTTAATTTTTTTTAATTGAAGCATAGTTGCTTTACAGTGCTGTGTTAGTTTTAGGTGTACAGCAAAGTGATTCAGACACACACACGCACAGTTGTTGTTCAGTTGCTAACTTGTGTCCAACTCTTGACGACCCCATGGCCTGCAGCACACCAGGCTCCTCTGTCCTCTGCTATCTCCCAGAACTTGCTCAAATTCATGTCCACTGAGTCAGTGACACTATCTGTTCATCTAATCCTCTGCTGCCCCTTCCTCTTTTGCCTTCAGTCTTTCCCAGCATCAGGGTCTTTTCCAGTGAGTCTGTTCTTCCCATCAAGTAACCAAAATATTGGAGCTTCAGCATCAGTCCTTCCAGTGAATATTCAGGGTTGATTTCCTTTAGGATGGACTGTTTTGACCTACTTACCATGCAGGGGACTGTCTACAGTCTTTTTCTTCACCATAATTCGAAAGCATCAATTCTCTAGCACTCAGCCATTATTGTGATCCAACTCTTAACATCTGTACATGACTACTGGAAAAACCATAGCTTTGACTATATGGACCTTTGTTGGCAAAGTGATGTCTCTGCTTTTAATATGCTGTCTAAATTTGTCATAGCTTTTCTTTTAAGGAGCAAGTGTCTTTTAATTTTCATGGCTGCAGTCAACATCCTCAGTGATTTTGGAGTCCAAGGAAAGAAAATCTGTCACTACTACCGCTTTTTCCTTTTTTCTTTGCCATAAAGTGATGGGACTGGATGCCATGATCTTAGTTTTTTGAATGTTAAGTTTTAAATCAGCTTTTTCACTCTTCTCTTTCACCTTCATCAAGAGGCTCTTTAGTTCTTCTTCACTTTCTGCCATAAGGGTGGTGTCATCTGCATATCTGAAGTTATTGATATTTCTCCCAGCAATCTTGATTCCAGCTTGTGCTTCTTCCAGCCCAGCATTTCTCATGATGTACTCTGCGTATAAGTTAAATAAGCAGGGTGACAATATACAGCCTTGATGTACTCCTTTCCTGATTTAGAACCAGTCTGTTGTTTCATGTCTGGTTCTAACTGTTGCTTCTTGACCTGCATGCAGGTTTCTCAGGAGGCAGGTCAGGTGGTCTAGTATTCCCACCT